CACTTTGAAAACGTTGAAACCACTCATGCACTCTGCTACGGGTTAGGCAATTATCGCCATAAACTTGTTTCATCAATTGAAAAATTTTGGGAAAAATTTTACCAATTTGAAAACAAATTTTAATTTTGGCTCTTTGTTCGAAGCTCATTTTCGCACCGATAACACAAACATACTGACACTTAAAACGCAATAACTTTACTTGCAACTGATCAAATGTTATGAAACTCTCACTGGACAATCAATAAAGACAGTAGATTCTAATGCACCAGCCGACATATATATTGCAGATGGCGCCATTAGGGGGCTTGTCCTAGTTACGTTCGAACGCACCTTGTATATGTAGTGTTCCGCGAAAAATGTTTATCGAATTTCGGGAAAGTTTCTAAAGCCCAACTCCAAAGGAGAAGAACCAAATAAGAAAGAGTCTCTGTGAGGAGATACAATAGAAACGTACAGTTCATAACAAAATAATTTTGTAAGAGTTTTGATTTACGGCGATTAAACGCCATTTTATATTCCAATTAAATTTATTATTAGACATAATTTTTAAGCTATTTTCACTGCACAGTCTGAGTGTTTCTATTGTCTCCCTTCTCTCGCTTTTCGTAGCGTATACGAATGGGATAGAGCATAAATTTATTTCTTCTTTACTGGCGTAGACACCGCTTATGCGATTATAGCCGAGTAAACAACAGCGCACCAGTCGTTTCTTCTTTTCGCTACGTGGCGCCAATTGGATATTCCAAGCGTAGCTAGGTCCTTCTAACGGAGTGGAGGGCTTCCTCTTCCACTGCTTCCCCCGGAATACTTCGAATACTTTCAGAGCTGGAGTATTTCCGTCGTTCGGACAACATGACAACACGTAGCCGCTGTCTTTTAATTCGCTGAACTATGTCAATAGCATCGTATATCTTATACAGCTCATCGTTCCAGCGGATGCGATATTCGCCGTGGCCAACGCACAAAAGACCATAAATCCTTCGCACAACCTTTCTCTCGAAAACTCGCAATGTCGACTCGTCAGTTGTTGTCATCGCAGGACGGGAATTATGAGTGATCTATAGAGTTTGTTTTTTGTTCATCGAGAGAGGACTTTACTTCTCAATTCAAAAGTCGCATGTGCGACGACTTTTTCTTTGATGATGTCTTGCCCTAGTTCACTGCCAGACCCATTTGTTTTGCTTCCTTGTCCAGTCTGGAGAAAACGGAACTAACGGGGCAGGTGTTGAGGTCAATGATATCAATATCATCGGCATACGCCAGCAGCTGTACACTCTTATAAAATATTGTACCTTCTCGATCTCCAGCAGCAGATTGAAGAAGTCGCACGATACGGATATCAGTTGCGTAGTCGTTTCTGCGAGGATACCAAATTCTGACATCGCGGCATAAAGGCAGCTCCTTTTCGTGCTGTTAAAAGCAGCGAATATCTGGTCGGTTGCTGATTTTCCAGGTCTAAAGCCACACCGATAAGGTCCCATTAGTTTGTCAATGTGTGAAATGATAGTGGTCATTTAAAATATGGATGAACTATTTAAATGGGATGGGAATCAAGTGCAGAAGTTCACGTAAGTGAGGAAAGTTCTCTGATTGCCTTAAAAGAATAAATTATTATAGTTACGAGGTTTACTGCGTG